AAAGCGGCAAATATACACAATTTCGTTGTTTCCTTACCAAAGGTTTGTATAAAATTAATCCAGAAGTCAAGATAAATGCATTTTTTGTTTTTTGATGAAATATCTTTCATAGATAGGTCAGAAATAACCAAGAGAGTGTTGACATTAGCTAAGGATTTTAATAAAGCTAAAATATATTTGTGAGAAGGCCACTTACGGGGTAAGTGAGGTATGGGACAATCACATAGCTATGTGTTGTGTGTTGATAGTATATTCTAACCGGTTACTTTGTAAAAATAACAATTTTTATCCGTGAACAATATATTTTTTTATAAGTTAATTAAAAAATAGTGTAACTTGTTACTCCATATATGTGCAGAAATGATGAATGACTTTAACACAGGGCTATGACACAAACCTTGGAGCAAATGGCGCTCAATTATCCGGTGGGCAAAAGCAAAGAATTTGTATCGCCAGAGCTCTGATACGGTCACCGCGACTCCTCCTGCTGGATGAAGCGACATCAGCTTTGGATGCTAACAGTGAACGCGTAAGTATAAAATAAATTCTAGGCCATCCAAACCAAAACGTTTGAGTCGATTGTTGGCCAATGCTGTATAATGTACACAAATAATGGATAATAATACAAGGTATGGCAATACCTTGTATTATTATCCATTATTTGTGAAACTAATTTATTTATACAGGTATTAAATAATCCCACCGGTGTCACAAAAACTAATTTATTATCAATAACATTTGCAGGCGGTGACTGAAGCTTTAGAGAAAGCTGCTAAAGGACGTACATGTATTACAATTGCGCATCGGTTATCGACCATCAAAGATGCAGACTTGATATGTGTTGTTGATAAAGGTAAGATTAATTATATTAGTAATAATTGAGCCAGGTTATAAATATATGACATATTATTAATATATCATATTGATTCACGGGGACACAATAATTGTTCATGGTAGTAGAAAAGGTCAAGCACAGCCCCTTTAAATTCTCAAATGTGCGTCTGTTTAAAACATTTAGCCACATTTTATGTGTTTAGTACATAATAAATACATTTAAAAGAGAAGGCATCTGTTCTCATACTGTTAATGTCGATTGTTGAATTCACTTTCGGAATCGTATCTTCATAGGCACGTTTGGGTAAATATCGCTGCCCATTTGAAATAGTAAAATGGCTTAACAGGGATATACCTTTTGTTTCAGGAAAAATTGTTGAACGTGGTTCTCACACGGAATTAATAAATCTGAAAGGTTACTACTGGAGGATGGGCAAAGGTCAACAGATGGCTTAAAATAACCAAAGTTTATCCTAAGTATTAAGTTATAATAAAACAATTTAATAAATTTTGACGTTTATTTAATTACATCGAGGTTCCTACTACAAAATTCTCCTTATTAACCCTGTTTTAGACTGGCTTCTTAGTTTCTTATCCGTAACAGCTGGCTTTCTTTCTTTTTCTTTTACAATAAAATTGATTACGAACCCCACGAAGTATGGACACATTCGAAAAATTTATACATTACATAAGTTATATTTTTTTAATTATTCAACGCCGTTAATGCGCATATACGTAGAACACATACATATATTCATTTTTCATTTAACAGCAAAAACATATACGATTTCTACTTAAGGACCTGATTTCTCTAACAAAAGTAAAATATGCTTTCCGTATTGTATACATATATATAATAATAATAATTATAATTAGGACCTTGAGTTTTAAAATATATTTTTTACCGTTGAGGAATAACATATCAATACTTTCGATAATTTTTTTCATAAACACATTTAGAATTTTTTATGAATACTCAAGGATATTTTAAATTTTTCCAAAACTACCATAAAATAATATCAATGGTCACCTACTTGGCGTAGCTTCACTATACGAAATAATAAAATGATGGCAAGTAAAAAGCTAAACAGATTAAATAACAAAATTATAAACTCTAAATTATAGGGTTCAATATGCACCAAAAACACATTATTTTATGTTCATAGAAACTATTGTATACGACACATTATACTTAATCTACAACGAACAACATTCAGTTAAATATATGATAATGCAGAAAAGATAACAAAAAATAAAATTTAATAAATTTAATTTATATATTATAGGAAGTATAATTTAATGCATAAACGTAAAAAAATGTATGCCCAAGAAATTCGATAACTTTGATGGATACATTTTTTACGTACGTTATCTAATGAATTGTATTGCACAAATTATAAACATTAATGTAAATAATTTTTTAAACTTAAATTTAACTTAAAATATATCAACAACAACCATTGATAATTTATTATAAATGGAAACATTTAAATTTATGATAAATGGAAATATTTAAATTTAATTTATAATTATTTATAATTTACAATATTGTCATTTATATGTAAATTACTTTTTAAAAGCTAAAACATTGTAGTAACATTATTTTAACTAAAGTACTCTTATGGCTCTTTCTTTCAAATTGTATTTTCACTACTATTATGAATAAGCATTTAAATATGTAAACCACAAAAGCTTTCAAAATTTGTAAATGTCAAAGTATTTCTACAAAATTGTAGTTTTTTTGATTTAACGCTTTGAAATTCTCGTATAAATTTATGTTTGTTTTAACGCATAGTACCAGAAGTAGCTTTAAGATAGATTTTATTAATGATATTTTTATCGATACGAATTCCCTAATACTAACAACGCGCGAAATACATTTGGACACCACATAAAGAAGCCTATTTCAAGTAAGCATATTTTTTATAAATTTGCATAAACTTTTATCCTTTCCGTTCTTTTAAATTAGACTGATTTTGATTTATTTGATAATTTTAATTGATACAACATCGCTGCGATAAATGTACAGCGATCTCATTAGTTTAACAAAATACGTCTATCAAATATTTGTTTGGCAAGTCTTACATTCCCACGCAATACTAAATTTCTCTACCAATATTCCGTTTCCAACCAAACCAAGTTGGACTTTAGTGTATTTTGTCCAATCGATCTAACGAAAGATTTTTTAATTCTCACTCGTCTTACCTATCACATTCTCACAAAATATTTTTATATATTTTAGCTGTGTGCTTATTTTAAACAAATAGTTTTTAGAGTTGGCTCCAGGTGGTGTCAAAATACATAACGTTTGTTACAAACACTATAGTTATAATGATTAATAATAATAAAACTAGCTTAATCTTAAGTTAAACATTAATACAGAAACAGAATTCCGATTCTATCCTAAAATAATGCAAAATAATGATTGCACAGCCTTTTTGAAAATAATCAGACAATCTTGTCTACGACATTAAAATGTATATTGTGCTATGGAAAATATATATACAATCTGAAAAAGGGTTTCATAATTATGAAACAAAACAAAATACTTCTGTATTAATTTAGTTGACCGAGACTCACCGTTTATATTATATATACCGCCTAAATCTAGTCTCGCATAAAACTTAATAATCAGACAAAAATAAAATACAAGCCGTCAACGCAATCTTCACCTACAATCCAAATCTTGACAAATGTCACTTCACCGCAATAATCACAACCACAAGTTCCATTCCGGATGGATGTCCTCCAGGTTTTTACTGGAACAAGTGTTGTACAAGTGTGTGTGTCAAGTAGATTATCATGCTACAAATTATACTAAGGTGACGGTTCTCATTGTCCACCTTACTGGTTTTAAAAAAACTATGTTACCGTAGGAAGGCCTATAAGTGTACCTAACTACCCACCAAAAATATAAATTTATATTTTTGGTGGTAACAATACAAAACCAAACCAAAGAATTTAATAGCTGCCACAGGAAAATTACAACTGGAGACAGAACAGTTATATCCGTAGGACAGTTTTTTCCCAATCGATTAAATAAGAGTGGTGCCTACTAAGTAATCCAGCTTCTACCAAATGCTGTTTTGAATTTTGGAACCGTACAAGTTTACACATTTTACGAGAGTTTTATAGTCTCAGTATTATATTACCCGTGGTCGCGCGGTGCGCTGGGCCGCGTTTTGGTGGTCTAGACTCTAGGGGATTACTTGCCTCATCACCTATGAATTATTATATTATAGAATAAGTCGCATCCCCTAAAAGAAGAAGAAGGAGATAATTCCGCAATGACAGATCTATACAAGTTGAATTGCTTTCGAAAACAAATGACTTCCGCTCCCAGATACCTTATGTTAAGGTGGCAAGGTATGGCGCTAGAAACATTTTCTTCATTTTACTTGCGGAATTTTTTTTATATGTCGGTACTACGGTACGGGATATAGGGATTTGGAAAAAAATATCTCCAACGAAGGACCGTATTCCGTAAATGCACAATTTATGAAAGGTTTAATTAAATGCTTCTAATTTCTTAGACGAATTCCTTCTGCTTTCGGCATATTTTTTATGTCGAGGATAAAGGTGCTCCGGGCTGCGAAGTAGGCGACATGGGGATCTGGAATTTGTGAAACTCGTAAAAATAACAAATTCAACTTGAAGAGCAATACTTATGATAGAAAATGTATGGCGGAGTTACTTTAAAATTTTCATTTTCCCCCTACCTCGAAATAAAATGCGATAAATGAATGAATAAAACGTGGTTATCCGGATTTATATAAGTAAAGCTGCCGCAAAGTAAGAACCTAGGTCTCACGATCTTCTGAATCTCTATAGGAATAATCCAATTGAGATTTTTATATATATAGTAACACCAAGATATTTAACTTAGTCGATACGATATAATGTATGACAGTTACAATTTTTGTTGTCGGAGCAAGTATGGGTTTGTTTTTTAAAACTAGACGAAGTATTATTATATACATATATAAAATTTGGAATAACTTTACTTTTTATCAAAGTGAATTTAGAACTAATTTAATTAGTCTTTTGTCTTTAGCATTTAAAATTAGATTATAAGCTCAGAATAGAGTATATTAGCTCTGTGGTATTTACGAAGAATAATATTTATTTTTATTTTATATTTATGCCAGCTATACATATTTACCAATTTATTCGGTGGGGTGATGTGGGTGATGCGGCAAGTGTGGTGGTTGCGAATGAGGTGGATAAGTCACATTTCGGCTGGTCGAACCTTCGTACATTATTTGTGCTGGCAACCGCTGATTTTGCTGGGGCTCCTCATTGGAGTACGGATTCTGAACCTGAAAATATGTTTCTTCTTATACATGTTACGATTCGTTACCCACAAAAGAATAACACATTCATCAATTAAAATCGAAAAACAAGTATATATATATTAGACTGATTCAAAATAATTTGTTTTTTTTGTTTTTGAGTAAAAATATCTAAAAAGCTTCTTTGTCAGACAAAAAAAAAACCTCCTGAAAAATGAGCTTGATATCTTGAAAATTGAGCTGGCGCATTCTTTTTTATTACCTGATTAGTAAATTTATTTTATAATTTTCGTTTTTCCGTTTTTGTAGAGAATTTAATTTCCTACAAGACACCAAAAGGGAAATTTGAAAAAAAAATTTTTGGACGATTTATAATGAAAATAAAGAAAAAAGTTTTTTTCAATGCATTTTAAATTGGAAAGGGGACCCCCCCATGCGCCTACTCAATTTTCAAGATATCAAGCACATTTTTCAGGAGGTTTTTTTTGTCTGACAAAGAAGCTTTTTAGATATATTTACTCAAAAAAAAAATATTTTGAATCAGTCTAATATATATATATGTCGGAGTAATAGCATTACGGTCGGCTGCCACTATCATTATGTCACAGAGCTCATACATTAACAACGTCATAGTCTAATCTGTTGAAAACCTTTAATACAAGTGGTTTGATTGATTTCCCAATCTTGCTGATCTATAAATGAACAACTAATCAATGGTGTATAATAATAGTGATTCCATAGACAAGATTATTTTTTAAGTTGTTTTTTATCATCTTAATACTTTGACACTTCAAATTTAAAGTTTAAAGACAATTAATATTAATCATTTGACGCTTGACTGCAGTTTGACTCTGTAATAAATTGGGCTCCAGTAACGGAACGAGTATACCTTGAATTCGGGTTGCTATAAATACAGGCACTGGTTGGCCCTTAGTTCGATTAAGCGGTCGAAACAATCAGAAGCATTTACAAAGTAGACTCTAATGTCGAAATTAAACGGCTGATGCCAAGAAACTAATTTTTATCGTCAGACGTAAACATAAATAAAATAAAATAATTTAACCGTAGGTTCTATATATATGGTAGATATTCTGGTAGAGCTTTCTCCTTATTGTTCCTTACTTGCAGTCTTTGCCAGTATTACCATCTGTTTCCGTCAATTATCTATAATTTCACAAAAAGAACTGGCAAGAAAGGCTTTTGTTCTCAGTTACACCTTGCTATACATAAAATTGTCTCATAAATAAATTTATTCTTATAATAGATGCAATCAATAACTGCTAAGTATTTCACAGTGAATGGACATGGGGCAGACACATTTTAGCAATTGTTTAACCATTTTATCCTTTGTTATAAATACAGTTTTTTTAATTTCGAGTCCGTGTGGAACCTAACCAATTGAGTTTTACATGTAAACATACGAAAAAATATGTCTCGACTTACGTCGTTTCGATTCACGTCGCGTATTTCGAGAACCTAACATGCCGTAAGTACGAGGACTGCCTGTATAATGTTTAATTTATTATTCACAAAATGTAATAATTATTACTTATAATTTTAAAGCTTAAACATGCATTTCGTCACGGTTGTTACTTTTGATGACTACTACTTTCACCTAGATCGTAATTTGCAATTATTTTTAGTTAAAAGACATGTTTCTTACAAAAACTGATATGTTGTCTTACATTAATAAGCGGTTGGAGCATACCAAGCCTGGCCAGCAGCAGTTGCTCCTTCACCTGTCGCAACTCCTCCTGCTGCCGCACTATCATCTGCTGCAATTCTTCGTGTTTGCGCTGGAGCTGCTCCTGCCACGGCAACTAGCTCGCATCATCATAACCAAATACTTATTACACCGGGCTCTAAATTTATACTCGTTTAACTTTTTGCTAGACCTCATCGGATGTTAGAAATTTTCAATTTTTTAAGCAATACATGTCATAATAAAGCCCGTTGTTAATCTAAATTAAATACCTACAAAAGGGAACGGTGATTTTGAGATTATGTATGTAGCAATAATTACATTTTTGTAGACCAAACATTATATGAATTGTAAATAGAATTTACTAAGCCATGGTTAAAACAAAAATTAAACATTGACATATTAAAATTATACCTTATGGCGCGTCTAAACGGGCCATGTTTTGCTGCAATTGATGGCTGCAACACTGTGGCCGGCAACATTGCAAACAATAGCAGCCACACTATGCAATATTGCAGTAATGTCCCGGCCATATAGCCAAACATGTTTTGTATAGCCACATATGGCCGATGTTGCCCCGATGGGTGGCCGGACGATCGCTAGGCTATCGAATTCAACTGCAATATTGCACAGCCAGTTCTCTTGTTGTTTCAGTCACTCTCTTTGTTATGGCATAGTGTATCCTTTTCTACGCGACATGACGTTTGCTTTGAGTGAAGTGTGCGTGTTGCTTTATTCTGTGTTTTGCGATCAGCTGTATTTGACGTTAGATTACTACGTAAAATGACTACTTTTGACATTCTAGTTCTTGAATAATTTAATATCAAGACTTATTTCTAGACTCAAATTGTCTACAGTTTCACGCCTATTTAAGTAAGGTCGAATCCACAATCTCTTCTTTTTCTGTTTCTTTTTTAAAACAATATAAGCTGCTGCGACATGTGTGATTTCGTCAGCCATTGTTGCCGGTTTGTGTAGCCCGTTTAGGAGTCTGCATCATGGGCCATACTATTGCAACATATTGCCCAGCCATAGATTGTTCGGCCATCAGCTGCATTAAAATATTTTTGTAATGGCCGGGCAATTAGTGGCCAACAGTGCAGCCATCAATTGCAGCAAAACATGGCCCGTTTAGACGCGCCATTAATTAAATCATAAATTAAATCCCACCTGTATTTGTGTTTGATCTGACACAATCACTGGCAATGAAGGCACTATAGGTACTACTTCCGGTACGCTCACAGTACCAACGTAAGGTGCTGGTTCAAGGTATTGAGCACCAATTCCGTGTTGTGGTACTACTGTGGGTTCAACTGACTTGTGTTGCTGCTGGAACATTCTAGCGCGACTTGAGTTGAACTCTTCACTCATAGGACGAGATTCTTCCATGTGGGACGTTGTTTCTTTACTCTGAAATTTTACATTTTTCGCTAATTAAACATAGTATGAATCACATTATGAATCTATATATTCATTGAAATTTGTAGCCGTAACTTATATTTATCTTAGAGGCAAATTTTAGGCGCAAATTGGACTATATCCCCCAAAATAGTATAATAAATCAATAAATAAAACTATCTCTGAACATATAAAGTTTCAGTTGTCATAGCAAGTTCATATGAATTAAATCGCTTGCTCCGGGGAATTAAAGACGTCAAGCACTATTACGACTGTTTTACATTTTTGACTTTCTTGTTTTATGTACTGTAACTGTGGTTTATTATAAAAAAAGACGAGAATGTCTTTATTCACAAAAACTATTTTGTGCACAATGTTAGTAAAACTCGTTTATATAATTTTACTTTCCTGCAATAGATAGAAACCACTTTTAAGATAATTTTAGTTCAGATTAAAATTCTACCAAATAATCATTAAAATTAATGCGACAGTTTAAAAACAAAGAGTGGTGGTATATGTTTCACCAAGATCATAATATTTCGGCGTTATTTTTATAATACATTATTGTAATGTACATTTAGTTATTTATTAACTATGTACACTAAATACAACTATGTTTAAATCGTCGAATAGAAAAAAAAACATTATTCATTTGTATATGTAATTTACTTAGTATCTTAGTATTAATAGCATTATCTTCTTAAATAGATTTTTCTTTTACAACTTTGTTCCCCGTGGCAAGCTAAATAATACAAGATACCTCTCTAGAACTTGACTGATGCGAAGATCTGGAATCAGCTGACGCCATACTATTCTCATATCCGCCCGAGTAGCGAGTATTAGACGCCAATGACCAGGAAGTGCTTGCCGTGTTTGCTTTTCCGACTAACCCACAAGTCCCACTTGTACTACCAGCTGATGCGGACTTTACTGACGCAGGCTAAAGAAACGGTTAAATTTATTTATATTTCTTTGGTTTACGTGATGACCAATGTTGGCCTAATGGCTTCAGCATACGACTCAACCCATCGGTCTTGTCATCACGGCTATTAGACTTCTATGTGCGTAGTTAACACTCGCTCATAAGAAAATGATCGGAGGAAACCGGCAAGTATTAGATCCAATATATGACGGCGTGTCGGACACGAGGGCCTGATCACTTACTTGCTTATTAAATAATGCATGAAACAGATACAGAAATCTGAGGGCATGATCAAGGGTTTTAGTCATTGGTTTTTATAAGCGAGCGATTCAAAGAAAATTTAATAAAAAATACGAGAATTAATTACGATTTCATTTCTCAATACGTTCATATCTGCTTGGTTTTTCTATCATTGATATTTTTTCATGAAACAGAGGTCAAACGGCCCACAGGCTCATAAGATGGCATGTCTGCACTACTTTTCTCAGTGGTTCCATCGAATGCGACGATGTGTAGAGAGGAACGGAGATTACTTCGAAAAACAATAAAAGTATTGGCATCTTTCTAAATTAAGCCGTTTTTCATTTGCTAAACATTTTCAGTGTTACCTAGGTATAAAATTAAAATTTGGACTATAGTTTAGAATCCAGCACATTATAATCAGTGCAGGTTAAGTACAATCAAACGAAGAATTAAATCGCACTTATAAACTGAATAAAAAATTACACAAACAATACAGCTTGGTTTAAATAATTTTTCAATACAGGACACAAAATAAGTATAGCTCCAAATATATTTTTTGTATTTGTACACAGAATTAACAAAATTATTTCATCGAAAATGAGGAATTTTAGTGAGTGGATCTTTTACAGCTGTAATTAATTATTACATTAGTTTTTGACAAGTTAATACGATTAATTTAACTTGACGATTCAAAAGTGTACTTGGTTACCTACTTGAATAAAGATATTTTGAGTTTGAGTTTGAGTTTGAGTTTGAGTAAAGATTGAAACCGTAACAAAACTTACCCTAGAATGGGAATGGTAAGAATTCCCATAGACATCACTATTCTCAGACATATATGACGGCGACATGGCTGGCATCGCCTCCTCTGATGTGTGCTTGATTTTCAAGTGACTCGGACCTGTTGGCTTGGCCACTTCAACCTCAGATGTCTCTTGCTTTGTACTCTTTTGTATGTCTGCATAGCTGAAACATTTATATTTCATTTAGACACAATTGTTCAGCAACTGTAGTCGTAAATATAATGGAAAACTCCATTTTATTTTAAAATAAATGAAAAAAGAATTACACTTAATAGCAAGCGATCTCTTACAGGCGAGCCGTTCTTAGACTACAAAAGAAACAGTGCAAAAAAAACAAAAATAAAGTAAGCGTATTTTAACATTAACTCCTTCGGTTCTTTTTAAGTCGGTTAAAAATAGGTGCTTGGAAACATGGTTTAATTTTAAATCTTTACATATGTTGACATAATGTGTTACTGTTCATTATTTTATTATTTTTATTCATATAACACGAGTGATAAGGACAAAACATTCAATAGTATGTTCAGGATATCAAAGCTGTGTTAACTGAGTGGGTAAGCGTGCAATCCTCAACCATGTCGGTTGGGCATCTTGGGCATGTTTATTTTCAAAAGTTCATATTATCTCAAACGTAACGTTAAGAGAAATTTGTAGATTATATTAAAACACCTACCTAACAACTCTATGCGTGCACATAACAAACTCCGGCTTTGAATTCCATTGGTGGTATGTGATATAGAATCGTGTCTGGAGCCAGATCCATTGCTGTCCCTTTGTCAGGAATCTATAGTAACATGAAGTCAACTCCCCCTTTTGCATTACTGAAAAATTACAAAAATCCCTTATCTCGCTATAACCTTCTCTGTATGTTTGTTTTTTCGAATATTTTCTATGTATTCTAATATAGATAAAATTTTCTGTTTTTTTTATATACTTATCATAACGTGACTGTAATTTGGTTTTATTTATATAGAATTTATTATCATATAGACCACACTATTGCTAAACTTATAAATAGTGGACTAAAGATAGTGTTACAAGGTAGGGGGTCGAATAGAAACGCCGAAGGTTCAAGGGTTTATTTTAAATTAATCTACTAATTGCACTAAAAATATACAAATCACGCGGAAGACAAATAATAACAACTTCACAAAATACAATCAGTAATTACATCAATTACGCACACTTAACACTTTTCAGCTTGATGAAAACGTCTCCAAGTTGTTGTGAAATCGTGAAACATTTCATTCAGTAACACAATGCTTTATTTAAATAACATTAATTTAACAAAAATATATATAACAAAGATTATATTATATATACCGCATAATACTTACACGCCTCATGACAGGTGATCACCTTTTCCAAGTCATCAAAATGGTAATAGTCATAGCCAGAAGTGCCTAACACTTCAAATGGCAAATATCCGATTATCGGCGGAGCACGGTGATCGAGAAACAGGAATTTCCACTCAAGACTGTGCCGGGATGTGAACTCACTCCTACTGGAGTCAACGAGCGTGACGTCACGAATAAGCTGTGGCGTGTAGAGCCGGCCAGTACACACGAAAAGGAGCCTAATACAGAAAATTTCATATGTAATTCCATGCCGGGAAACTAACCTATTACTGGATATATTGTCTTGACAACATAGAGGCAATTTATATACATACACATATAATATTTTTGTAGAATTTTTTGTGTTGACGTCCGTAAGTAAGAATTAATTCGGACAAACTTGTAGAATTATAATAAATTTTATAGAAATCCAATTAAATATGTATTCAAATCAAGCATTCGGTCAATGTAAACATCTCAGATAATGACAGTTACAATTTACCTAGAATCGGGATCTATCTGGTACATTTCCTCTCCATCAACTTGTTTCATGTTCGAACCTGAAAAAGTTTAAATAATATATTAATAAATTTGTGATATTATTAATATATCCTGATTCAGGAAGAATAATAAATAAAAAAAATTCTGTAATCTGTCCATTATTTTGTGAGCTCATTATAAACGTATGGATCTTTCCCCTTATTACCTTGTATTATTGGTAAAATAAAAAGAAAAAATTGTAAATTTTTACTTCTTTATAAGAGGTTTCTCAAGGTTTATAAACTGATGGAAGAAATAACAAAATAGTTAAACGAATAATATATATTTCAGAAAGACATTTCAGAAGGCACTCCACTGGCTTGAGAGTGCGCCTCTCAAGGATATGGTCCCGCGTTCGAGTCCAAGCTAAACGTTATACCTGGCTGGCTGGCTCGAGGAGATTTTTCTATGTACAAAAACCTATTTATGGCTGGGTTTTCAACGCACAACTTTAGATTGAATACTTAAGCAAATAAAGACAATACTAACGAAAGTGACCACTGAATTCCACAAGTTCGTAGGTAATCTCATCTCGAAAATCCAAAGTGCCCCGTTGTAGATGACATTGAAACTTAATTTCATTTTCTGAAATATCAGGATACACAACTAAGTCTTGTGGTTCATAAAGAGTTCCTACATAGTAAACAAAATATTCTAAGATATTATACAATGTCAATCAATGTAAATAGGACTTGAGGTATCTTAGTGTCTATTTTACTAGTTTTCTTCGCATTTTATGACAGTTGCCACGACTTAGTAGTAACACATGTCATGTAAACCAGAAGGGCTTAGGTTCGAATTCCAAGCAAACAATAATGTAACTGACATTTTACTACCTTCCTTGGTCTTAAGAAAATAATAAATATTAGGTTTTATTTTAACTTACTTTACAAAATTAATCTATAATATACAAGTAACAGCTTGTGTCAGCAAAATGAAGAACAATTTGCAGAGGCTTCAAATAATGTAGAATTTATATAAACACTGTTAAAATTTGCATTAGTTGCATCGCAAAGCAAACAAGCAGCTTTAAATTACTTTTGAAAATTCATTGTTTCCTTATAGAATATATTAAAAATCATGTTACTTTAAAAAAAGGGTTAAACTGAATTATAAAAAAATTATTATATGTAAACTCATTTAGTAATTAATAATTATTGTTTTAGTTGACACATTGATTTAAATCACCTATCAGACTTTGATTCACAATATACTGTCTCCATTCAAATTTAATTATTTCATAATGTCATTCAACTGCATATCAGGGATAAAATTAAAGTGTTTGTCTTCATAATACAGCTTTCAAAAATACCATTTATATACAAGTTTCTCAACATGAGTAGTCAATAAAACACATAGGTAATATTTTATATCACATAATCATGTGAGGCCTAACATAAGCATGCAAAGCAACAGCCACATATTCATTTATCAAAATTCGCTTTAATACAGCATTGAAAAACATGAATAAAATAAACACACTCCCAAATACACAACATAATACAATATCTTTTAAAAGTTATGCCTCACGCTTTGCACTTTTCTCTGCAAATAAGCTCAATTGTAACAATAATTAAAGTGTGAGTTTCCAACCTGCCGTAAGAGCTTGATTAGGATCAATTGGATTTCCAGTATTTTGAAGCATATTGTAGAGGTTTGGCCTGTCGTCTTCAAACACTAAGTCAAATATGGTTGTGTTTATAACATCACTCTGAAATTTTTATGAATCAATGGGGTATTTGAAATTTTATAAGGGTCACAATTATTTTAAAAGATAGTTTGGGTAAATAATTACCGGTGTATGTCCAAGCAATGATGTAATTCCTTCAGAGACATAAAAAATTCGACCAGTTGTTGAAAAAACCATAAGAAAACCTTCCAAAGCCTCTAATACAAGATAGGTAAATTCTTCATTTGAAAGGAATGGCGGTTTCCAATCTTCCTGAACATCATGAGCTCGGGATCTTACTGTAATTTCTGTAACATAGTAAAATTGTTTTTAATTACTAATTAGCTTTGGATAAAAAAGTAATCAGCTTAATTATGAGAATGATAATCTAGTGGCACTACCACCCAATTTGGATCTTGGCCAAGTCTTAGATTATATATAATTAGTCTTAGATATAAGCAAGTAGGTCATTAGTCTCAACTCATGTGGTAAATTTTTGGGTTTAAGACATGCAGGTTTCATATTCTCTATACTTAAGAAAAGTTTTATAAAGACAACAGTTAATTTATAGAATTTTACAGTTACTTGAGTTAACTTTACTTAAATTAACAGTTCCAACCAATAATAATAATTTAATGAATAACTTTTGTAAACTTTTTAACATAAAATCAAATTCTTTGAAGTCTCTAAATTTACATTTACCCATATGCTATGCTAATCAATGATGTAAAATGGATAAGAAGAACTAACAAGAAACTCTCCGCCTTAGCAGCTTGAATGGTCGTCAACATAAGACCATTAAGGCTCACTAGTACAAGTTATGATTTAAATTCTGTAACCATTATTTGTAAACTTATAATAATTAAAAAAGTATATTTTTATTGTGAAAACAAACATTTTACCATTATGATTCTTTAAGAATGATATTGTCGATTTGAGCACAGTTGATTTATCCATTTTTCTATTACTTGAAGACACCATTACTCCCAGTTCATTAACAAGCATATTAAACTGGTCTCTTCGTTTTTTCTCGCTTAAATTACGGGTCCTCCTAAAATATTCATATTTAATCGGCACAAAATCTTTCTCTCAAAAAGGTCACTTTAGAAGTTTCACGTAATTGATTTGAATAAAAATTTCCTTGATTTTTGCTACCACTACCATTAACAGTAGATTAAAGATATTGAGCTAATTTATTGGTTTTTTTAGAAATATCAAACATTAACACATTCATAAATTTTTTATTGTTTCTTCAAGAAAAGCTTAAAATATATAATTTTCTTCGTAAATAGACTAATTCTGTTTTCAAGTACCACACCAATACCATTTAATAAAGAATTTTTTTTAAATTTTATTTCAAGTAGTTAATTGAATGAATGATAACATTTTTAAAAGATGAAAGTTTAAATACAAAATAGGACATACATTTAAAATGCAGATTAGTGGACCTTATAAATTTACTTACTATAAACATTCTCATATAAAGATAAATAACCAAGATTTTATTTTTAGTATGTTGTTAAGGCTGATACAGGACAGTGAAAATAGCCTATTTTATGAAAATAGATTTAGAGGATGTCAATAAGAGAAAAATGCACTGTAATTTAAAATTATCCTCAACAAAAACAAATACAAGTTTAACACTTACCTTTTGGTATCATCTTTGTCATCACCATCGTCATCCATGTTGAAAAGTAAGTGGTTTCCAAACAGTACTTATGCAAGCTTGCGCCAAGACAATTAAATATAAATATTTAATGCACTAAAAAAAATATAAATCACTTAATTTATTTTATACACGTGTGTCACTGTATAAGAATCTTTTGCGCGGGTTTGTAAACAGCATCCCCTTTTTAGATTAGCCATTTTACAAAAACTATAATAGTCATACAATCTCTGTCCATAAGTATCAAAAAATTAATGCAGATGTAAATCAAATGTGTTACTTTTTTTTTAGGAAAAAAAAATAAAAGGTACAAATCAATAATGATGGGCTTAACGATTTTGTACGTGAAGCTTACTGCAAACAGATAGCTGTCGCTTAACAACACAGTACTGCGACAATATAATTAAATATTTGTATGAATAAGTGCAACAATAACCTGTTGGTTCACATAACGAAGGTCCGAAGAAAGTTAATTCCAAACCAATATTTTACCAGGTATTCAAAAACCTATGTATTGACATAATATTGACCATTGCCATTGGTCATAGCAGTTATACTTAAGATACTTAGACGTGATTATTGATTGAGAATACAGAGTATTTATTAGTAAAATGGGATAGATTATATAGATAAATTTACCTTCAATGTCACCGTCGATGTCAAAATTGCTCTAAGCTCTAAAGCGGGCCATAGACGGACCGTATGTTGCAGTCGCCGCACGGCGATCTGCAGTTTCCATACTAAATTCATATTCGCAATACACGGACCGCTCGAGCAGTTCCTGAGCAAACCGCATATTGCAGTCGATCTTGACTGCAACATGCGTGTCGTCTATGGCCCGCTTAAGAGATGACGATTTTTTGTCATTTGTACTCATGTACGATCGCTAGACCAAGATCGTACAGAAAATGTATATACGATTTTTCTGTACCTGGCAACATTTCGTAATTATATATAATTATAATTTGGCCTAAAGGTCTAGATACCAAGCGAGTTTTCCGTCGTTGCGGGTATAAGTGTTTACACGTGTTTCGGATCCTCCGGATAGGATCTCTTCTCCGGTGGAATCAATGGATTTATCCACCCCACTGTTTCCCCAACCTGGTGTCAAGCGCAGACTCGATACTGTCAATGAATCTTTAGTGGAACCTTCCAAAAAACCAATGACTGATGCCCGGTCATCTGCTGATGACGTCAACCCGGGATTTGACTCCCATCCGTCTCTCACTGGCTCTCCCAAGTCATACCTTGTCAATGACAAGGGCCCTTTTTTAGTCCATGTTTCTTGCCCTGAATCTGACCCATCCGCCGGTACATCAATCCGCCCAATTAAATTTGGTCACTTCTTGGTAAAAAATAAAGTAAGTAACATTGTTCGTGATGGTGTTAAAAGAGTGGGACGTAACAGAATATCTGTTGAGTTTAAGTCGGGTTTAGATGCTAATAATTTTGTGTCTAATCCCATTATACCTTCCAGCAATTATTCTGTTACGATTCCTAATTACAATGTTTCCCGTATGGGTCTTGTGAGAGGTGTCCCAGCTGATTGGTCGATGCAAGAATTTGTCGAAACTAATAAATAGTATAGGTATAGTCCTCAAGGCCAGACGCCTAAACCGCAAGACGAACTCCGATGGTCAAATTAATTGGATCCCAACAGAAACCGTTGTTCTAACTTTTCAAGGTCAAACCCTTCCGGAGAGAATATTCTCTTGTCATAGTTCCCTCCGCGTTGAAACGTACCAACTTCCAACAATCCAGTGTCGAAACTGTTGTAGGTTTGGGCACGTAAAATCACAATGCCGATCTAAGCCTAGGTGTTTTCGTTGTACACTAGCCCATTCTGGTGATGATTGTAATATCCCTGAATCAGAGTCACTATGTTTATTTTGTACTGCCTCGCACTATGCGACCAACAAAGCTTGTCCTGAGCATAATCGACAAAAAAACATAAAGAGTTGTATGTCTCAGGAGAGCATTTCTTATCTCGAAGCATCGGCTCGGTTTAGACCTATCAGTGGCAAAACTTTTGCAGACTCTGTAAAAACAACGCCCTCCCCTTCATTCAGTTTATCCCAGCCCCTTGCTATACCTTCCCAAGTTTCCCGTCAGTCTACATCTTACAGGAAAACTGTATTTCTCCCTCCTCGCTCTAGACCAACATCAGGAAAATCCTTTGATAAGGCGGCCCATGAGGCCATTACTTCCAATTTACCCTCCTCTTTACCCAATGGTTGTGCCGTAAGCTCCCCTTCCCTTATCAACAATGAAGTCTCCCCAAATGAAAATCTTCTTGACTGCTTATGGGCAGTCATTTGTAACATGCTATCCAAGTATGATGACATCCCCATACCGTCCCACGTTGCCCAAAAAATTAATTTGCTCCACTCATTCGTCACCAAAAATGGCGAATCTGGTAATTCAGTGGAACTGTAACAGTATTCGCAGTAAAAAATCAGAATTAACCTTTCTTATCAATAAATTCGCTCCATCTATTCTAGCCATTTCGGAGACTTGGTTATTGCCGGGTTCCCGCTTTAGGGTTTCTGGGTACCGGTGTCTCCGAGATGACAGGGATGATGGCTATGCTGGCTGTGCCTTTTTGGTCAGCCGTTCCCTCACCTTCCACGCATTATCTCTTCCTCATTGTGATGGTATTAATGCTGTTGCTATGAGAGCTTTTAATATCTCGTTTATTTCTGTTTATATTCCCCACCCCCATTTCGACCTCATTTCTGATATATGTTCAATTATCCTTTCGGTTCCTCCTCCTGTTGTTATGTTGGGTGATTTCAATGCCCACCATGTTTCTTGGGGTTGTCATTCCTCAGATTCTTTTGGGTCCCTTCTATTCCGAATGTACTGAGATGATTCGAAAAAGAAAAACGGCAGAAAGGTCATACAGTCTTTCATGTCCTTGGAAAATTTTTTAGTCTACCAACAAGCTTCTGCAGCCGCTCGCAGACTTCTTAATAATAAGAAACGTCTTGGTTGGCATAAGTTCTGTGAGAGCATGTGCCCTGGTACCCCTTCGTCTGTTGTTTGGAGGCAGATCAGAAGATTCCGTTGTTCCCTCAATTCTTATGATGTCCCTTTTAATGATCCGTCTAGCTGGATTACCTCCTTTGCCGACAAATTGGCTCCTCCATAAGTCCCTTTTTATGATTGTGTTCCTTATAAGTATAATTCTTACATCCCCTCTTCAAACAGTCTAGATTGTCAATTCTCCTTGGAAGAACTTAACAAAGCATTAAATGGTCTCTCTGACTCTTCCCCTGTAGAAGATGGAATCCCTTACTCATTCCTCATAAATTCTTCATTAGGCACTAAGAGGTACTTTCTAGATTTAGTAAACTGTTTTTTCGATCTTGGAATTATTCCTGAATCGTGGAACAGACAAATCGTCATTCCGCTTCTAAAACCTGGCAAAGATCCATCAGATTTCTCTTCATACAGACCTATTGCTTTGTCTTCTACCCTTTTAAAAATTATGGAACATTTGATTAAAATTCGTTTAGAATGGTTTTGTGAAAGTAACAATATCTTTGCAAAATCCCAGTTTGGTTTCAGAAAAGGCTTAAGTACGATGGATAGCCTAAGTATAATAACGACCGACATTCGCATTGCTTTTAAAAAGAAACAGTTCCTGGTGGGTGTTTTCTTGGATATCGCATCTGCGTATGACCACGTGCTGGTTCCGGTGCTCAGGCAAAAAATGCTTCAGCTGAGTATTCCTGAGAAGTTGGTACGTTTTGTTTGCAATGCAGTTTCGAATCGTTATATTATTATAAGATCTCAAAATACGGAGCTGTCTCCTAGATCTATTTGGAGGGGCTTACCTCAAGGTTCTGTTTTGAGTCCTCTTCTGTACAACATTTACACCTATGACCTGGAGCTTGTTGTGAATTCCTTCTGTCAGATTCTTCAATACGCGGACGATGTAGCCTTATACTTTTCATCAAATTCTATTGAAGAGGCATCATCACGCCTAAATTCGGCTTTGGATTATTTGGGTGATTGGTTAAATGATCATGGTCTCTCTATTTCTGTGCCCAAATGTTCGGCGGTCACGTTTACTACAAAATACAAGGTTCCACGGTGTAACATTTCATATAAAGGGTCCTTGGTATCGTGTTGTAAGCAAGTAAAATTTTTAGGCCTTATTTTAGACTCAAAGTTAAACGGTGTTCCTCATTTTAACCATGTGATTAAAAAAAGTGAGAAGGGTGTTAATGTTCTCCGTTCATTATCTGGTGTGAGGTGGGGAGCACACCCCTACTCGCAAAAGCTTTTATACAATACTGTGGTACGAAGTCATTTTGATTATGGCACCTTCCTTTTAGATCCTGGCAACAAGCAAGCCCTTGATAAAATTTCCAAAATTCAATCGAAATCTTTACGCATCATCCTTGGTGCTATGAAATCCTCTCCCATCAATGCTCTCCAAATAGAATGTGTTGACCCCCCCCCCTGTATTTACGTAGACAATTTTTAAGTGACCGCTTCTTCATCAAAGTCCTTCAATACTCTTCACATTCCATCTTGTCCAAATTACGTCGCTTATCTAATCTCACGATGCCTTCTAGTACAGGTAATGTTCCATGCCTGTTATACAGTTTTAATAAACTTTCTCGTCTTCCTAATCCTATTGAAAGTTTCCCTAGTAATCCCTTGTTTTTAAATAGTTATGAATCCCTCATTTTTGATCCTAAAATAATTGTAAACTTTGGAATTGAAAAAAAATCCACCCAAGCTTCCACTTGTTTTCTGGAAAAAATTTCAAAAGACTGGCAGGGTTGGTTACCGATGTATACTGATGCTTCCAAGATTCCCAATAATGAGTACATCGGTGCGGCTGTATGGGTTCCGTCATTCAAAACAGTATTGAGCTTTAAACTTCCTCCATTGACATTCGTTTTTCAGGTGAAGCTTTTGCAATCCTAGAAGCGGTTTTGTATGCTGAGTCCCACAACCTAAATAAAGTTACAATTTTTTCCGATTCTCGCAGCTGTTTACAGGCAATTCTTTCCAATCCATTCAGGTCTAAAAAAAAACATAATACGATTCTAAAAATAAGAGAAGCTTTGTTTAGGTGTAGTAAAAAAGACATTCATATTGTTCTTTTGTGGATACCTAGTCATTGTGGTATAGCGGGTAATGAAACTGCTGACTCTTGTGCAAAAGGTGCTATTTTCTGCGGATCTTGTCAGCATCCCAACATCTCGGCCCACGACCTATCAGCTCTTGCGTACTCCCACCTTTTAAAATCCTGGACTATTGATTGGCAATCTTCTAAAGTAAAAACTGGCAGGCACTATGCTAATATTCAGTTTTCAATCTCTTCTTCGCCGTGGTTTTTTTAAATATAGGTTTTTAAACAAAAAGGTCACGTCTATAATCTGCCGTCTTCGTATAGGGCACGCTTGTACTCCCGTTCATCTAGCCAAAATTAAAATTAAAGACAGTTCTCTCTGTGAGTGTGGTATGGACGAGGGCTCGACAGACCATATTATATTTTTTAACTGTTCTTTAATTAATGACTCGTTATTGGACCATCTTTCTCCAGATTTCCCTCGTCCATGTAACCTTAACTCCCTACTTTCCCTCCCATCCAGCTCGATCGTCAAAATTTTAGGGAAATTTATTTCTGTTAATAAATTAAAGTTATAAATAAGATTCTCCCCTCCATACCTTGTAGTAAAATGTTAACCTCTTGTATATATTATAAGATGTCTGTGTGTGTTGTATTTATTGTGATGTCATTTTTGTTTTGGGTAACTCTGCTTAGATTAAATTCAATCTATAAAAATTATCAAATCTATCCTCACTGTGTGAAGACTTAGAACGTGACATTGGCGGAATTGTGATTTACACAGATGTCGCCATTATAAATAAAGTGAAGTGAAGTGAAGTGAAGTAGATACCAAGCCATAAACTCCAAAAATAAAATAAAAATTCAAAATTTTCGGAACCTATCATCAACACGAAATTAGGTTAATTTCAATGTTGATTATTCTATAACTTTAAAATTAAAAAATGAGGAAATGAAAAAGGAATAATCATATATTATTCATCCGTATATCCGTATGAATAGTCACTGCGATTAATTTAATACTTACATCTTTCGGTTAAATATAATTTACCCGAAAAGGGAATAATTTTATCTCGATAGTGACAATGTCAAGAAGATTTTACTTTTTATACATACAAAGACATTAGACAATATACAATCACAAAAATGTCGAAAGTATCGTGCCAGCAGTTATCAGCTACGTTGGTTCTAACTTCTATAATCTGTTTATTTTTTTCTTCTATTAATGGTACCAATGTTGTTTTTGTTTATATTTTAAAATAGCAAAATGTGTTTTTATGTGTCTCTTGAACTCGAAATAATCTATTATGATTAACCGATTAAAAGGGTCTATTCGACTAGTTGTAATTTATACATATTTGTATATGTCTAGTATACAAAAATGAGCTTGAAGGACAGATTAAAACCGCTGTTAAAAATATTTAAGTATTCTTCTATTGTTGGTGGCAGTGCTTTACTAATAGCTTATCATTTTAAACAGACACATATAAGGATCTCTAAAATAGTGAATCCATGTGTTCTCGATGCTGGAAAGAAATGTTCCCCAGAGTATATTTATATAGATGATCCCTCATATGATGCTGCTATGAAAGCTGAAAATGACAGGGAAAACAAACAAACCGTAGGTCTTTCACGGATTTGGAAGAGTCTTAAGTATTCATTAGCCTGGAAACTTCTTTGGCTTTGTCGACATGGAAGTAAAGAACAACGAAATATAGCTTTAGAACAATTAGCAGCATTTAAAAATAATAAAAGTTGGGATTGTTTAAAGTTAGCTCAAGCTTTTGACCATGATACCGCAGTTTTACTTGCTCGGACACGGGGAGCTGACTTAAGGTATTTTTTACCACCTCCCATACATGTCCGCAGAGCAGCTTTAACTTCAGAATTAACATCATTTAAGTTAAGGGACTTACTTACAGCTGTACAAGGTGTCAATCCTCATGGTTGTATACAATACTTTCTAACAAAATATTTTTTTAATGTTCAAGAACAACCTGTAGAAGTTGATGTACCCAATAAACCAGATAGTCTAACTGAGAAAGAACTTTGTATTTTATGTCTTGATGGGATCCATCACCACTTGTCACTATTCTATCAAAAAAGTTATGAAGAAGATGTGTCTGTTCAAACCTTAATGAAATTAGGAATTTTACCTTGCTTAGCTGAACTTCTATTAAGATATCACAATGATATTGATATGGATATAGCTGTATTAAAAGTGCTTACTATATTAAGTATACATAAAAATCTTTCAAAAGATTTCTTTCAAAATGGTTTAGTAAGAGACTTATCAAGATTATTAAGATCAAATGATGTACGTTTAGCAAGTTCTGCTGCAGTATCCTTAGTTAATATCTCTGGAGAATTTTTATTCAGACCTGGTTTATATTTGTTGTACCCATTATACAGAACTCCTGTTCAGTATACTTGTGATACCTTGTTGGTGCATGGTCTTAGAGGTGGTGTGTTTGTTACATGGCGACAAAGAGATAAAACATGCTTTAAGCCTATTGGTATTTTAGAAGTATCTGTTTCTGATGCTGACTGTAATCCATGTAAGGAAAATGAAACAGAGGCTAAATACTATGACCTAGATCTGCAGCAGGTTTTAGACGATATCATAGAAATAGAAGAAGAGTCATTACTGTCAAATATGGAAGTTGTTTTACATGATCTCCCAATAGATGCCAAACGTGAAACAAACTTAAATAAATTTACAGCAAAAAAGAAAAGGAATGCCTTGATACAAGAAGAAGAAGATAAATGCAGCTACACATTCTGTTGGCCAAAGGATTGGTTACCAAAAGATTGCAAAAATTTAAGAATTTTAGGAATCAATTATTGGAGTTCCCTTTCTGAATGGTTAGAACATTGTCCCTTACAAAATGCCGATATATCAACAAGAGCAGCTGAACTTATACCAAAATTGGTTGATGCTGAAGTGGGAAAGAAAAATGTTGTCTGGCTAACTCATTCCATGGGAGGCCTCATAGTAAAGCAGTTGTTAATAGAAGCATCCGAGAGTAGCAATACTTTAATTAAACAAATAAGTAACTGCACAAAAGCCATATTCTTTTACAGTACACCACATAAAGGCAGTGCCCTAGCCACTATGCCAAGAGCAGCAGCTGCTGTTTTATGGCCATCACAAGATGTAAAACAATTGCAAGAAAATTCACCACTGCTGCTTGATATCCACAAAGATTTTATTAAGTGTGCTGAAAGATACAACTGGGAGACAATTAGCTTTGCTGAAACATTACCAACTCCTGTTACTGCTTTTAAAGTACCAATTCATTTTGTAGAACCTAATTCTGCCGATCTTGGCAGAGGAATGTTCTATCAATTACCATTAGACCATTTATCCATTTGTAAACCAGCTACTCGGCAATCAGTTTTATATACAACTGTTTTAGATGTCCTACAGAGGGTAATAGCAGAAGATGTAGAATTGCATAAGTCAAACAATTACATACAAAGTTTTATTGATTATATTCTGTGGACAACAAGATTGAAAATAAAAGCTATTATTGAAATATTAGATGAAGCACAGAGTGCAGAACGTCTTCGTAGTTTAGAAAAAACATTGTTAAGTACATTTACAGATGATTTCTGGGATTAACACACTTTGTATAAATTATGTGGTAAAGTTTTTATCATTCAGCGTTGAGCAATTTATTTGTTTCCCGATTGACATAATGTTGTTATGATAATTGCTTCTAGTCTTTTGCTGTATTTACCTGGATTCCTTATAGTTCTCAATTTTATGTAGTTTCATTATTGACCTCTTCAATAAAATAACTAAATGTGTTTTATTAAAAATCTGTGGTATTTTATATATTTATTAAATTATTTTGTATTTACAGTGCTTTTAATACCTTTTATATTATAGATAAATTAGAATATGACAAATGTTTTTTTTTTCAATTTATATATACATATATACAACAGGTATATTATATTTTAACTTTTTAGCCAATAATACGTATATATACAACTATTAGTACAAAAGTTGTACACACGAACCAATATCTAATTGAATAATAGTTACTAGTAAGACACTAATGTGCAATGCCATCTTTAAGTTTAAGTCCCGTAAGCTTCATGAAATTATAGCTATTCCAATCGAAATTGTTTTTTTTATCCTTTATTTGACTTAGTTGCATTTATTTTGAGTAGATGGCGCTTAAATAAAAAAACAACCTTAGCGTTTTCTTTAAGATTTAAGGTGCTCGTTATATAAAATAACATTTTATTTCTAATTATAATAGGTATATCATTAAGGAAAACGTAACAAAAATTAAAACGTCAAATCTTAATTGTTATCCTATGGTTGAAGAACTTTTACAGAAACTAAAATGTGTTCAGCGCCATACAAAACGCCGTACGTGACGTACAAGTTAGTATTTGGAGTTTAAAACAGATGGTAGTGTTTTTATAAAGAAATTATATCTTGTCTAATTATAATATGTATAATAAAATAAAAAGCCTTTTATTTCTTGCGAAAAGATATACAAAATAACATAGGTTTATTAAAAAGAAAAAAAAGAGAAATTAAAATAAAAAGATAAAAAAAAGTTAATAATATACATCAGTGTGCATGATTAGATAGGTACTTTATTAATTTCTTCTCTTCAGGTGCTTTTATATTTATGGGTGCAAGAACCCCTCTCAGCGGAGGGTAAAGGCCTCCTCCAAAGATGACCATTTTTCCCTGTCTTCGGCTACTCGCGTCCAGTGCGTGCCGGCTATCTTTATAACGTCGTCTGTCCAGCGTGCATTTTATGTATTCTAGTTATAGTGCTACTCTGTCTGACATTCCGTTAAAACATTTTATGTATTTTTTCAGGTGTTTTTTTAATAATAAATCCCACTCCATATAATCCTGGCGTTTCGCCGATGTACAAAATGAATTCCTCGTGTTCCTCTATTTTGTTACCGAGTTTTCTAACTTCTGAGAGACCAATAATATCGTACTTTATGTTTATTAAGGATTCTGTTAGTTCCAATAGACGTGAATAAGTAGAAAGAGTTTTAGCATTGTAAGTCGCTATGTATAAAGTGTTGAGGTAATTGTTGTTTACGGTATTTAAAAAGAGGTTCGTTTCCTTTGGAGGGTTATGGTCTTGATATTCCACGGTGACCAACCGGCTTGGAAGATGTTGTTTGGTACTGTTCGTTTCTAATATGTTTTCCGTGAGAGAGGGCGGTAATTGCTATTGTTTATTATTTACATTTGTTTGATCGTTTGGTTGATTGTTGTGGTTTTTGGAAGTAAAGAATCCGAGTATTCCTGGTTTAATAACTCCCTCTGATAGGCTCGACGATCTTTGTAAACCTGATTGGGTTTGAGTTTTGTTCTTTTTATGTGCTTGTTGTTTTGGCTCTGAATGCGGAAGATCCCTGTAGTTTGGTGATGTTGATAGAGTTCTTTTCTTGTTGCCTATTGTTGTTTCATTTTTCGAGTGTATTATCAGTTTATCGTACTTAATAGAGGCGGAGTTCCCTTTTTCTTTTTCAATTCTTAGCTGTTCTTGCAGTTACCTTCTTTTAGCTAAAATATGCTGTGGGAAGTCCTCTTTTATGTAAGTCGTGTCTTTAATACTCTCCTTTGTTTAAAGATTTCTATTTTCGTTCCCAATGAAGTAAATGTAATTTATACAGGTCGGGGTTTTTCTCCTTTCTTTCCTATTCTCCTGGTTTCTTGAATGTCTCTGCGTTCCAGATCTGCAGAGAAATATTGATTCATGAAACTTAGTATGTGTTTTTCCAAGTCTGCATATGATGTTTCATTTTCCGCCAGTCCAAAAATTACGATATTCCTCTGCTTTGACTGTTTTTCTAGAAAATATAGTCTTCTTGATTATCTTCTCTTTGAGGTTTTCGTATTTTATATCTAATGCACTAAATTTTTCCTCCAATGTGTTGTTTATATTTTTCGTGACTTGTTCCGTAACTTTATCTGCTGACTGTACAATTGTCGTTTTTTGTTCTTTCAGCTCGTTTTGAATTCTTCTTAACATATTCATAACTTCCTCCATGGTTTATCAGTTATTTGATACTGTGTTGAAGTGCCGTAGTTATTTTTATCTTTTGTTGCGATACTTGTTCCGCCCTCTTGTGGTATTCGGTTGTACCAGATGTAGCAAGGTTGCTTGAAGTTCGATCTATCGACGGTATGCCTTGAAGGTGCAGCTACTCGCCGCTAGGTGGCGATAGTTGATCTTAGTTTGGTAGTATAGCAACTCGTCGCTAGGTAGCGTTAGTTGTTCTGTTTGATAATGTAGCTACTCGTCACTAGATGGCGTTAGTTGGCGAAAAATGTCCGTGTTTCTATAAATAATGACTCCTCTGTAATTTTTCTTTTAGGTTATTTTTCTTGTTGGATCACTGTTTTTCGTATTTTAAGCAATGTTCACTAAGTTCTTGCACTAGGCGAATTACGTAATACACTGTGTAGTGTCTTTGTTTTGTTTTTTGTTTGATTTGTCAGTCTTTTCTCACTAATTGTTGTTCACCTTAATACTTAGGTTCTCTTAAAAGTCACTTGGTATTCACTTTGTTCTTAATATTGTTTTGGTGACACTGTACTTTATAGATTTTAACACTTTTTGATCACTTTTTGCACTTTGAATATGTGTTTTTAGCTTTTTCTTTGCGGACACGAAGTACTCCGTGGCTCTGTGGCGCCCTCTCCCCGTAATATGTATACTATATAGAAATTAAATCATAGAACCAGGTTTCAGGTGTTACATTTTAATTAGTGCTGAAATTACATAGGACATTTAATGTGTTACATAGTAGTTTATATAAACACACCCTCTTTTTGTTGACTTGATTGTTAAAACTGTATTGGCTCATATATACTTTGTTTTGTTAAATACCTATATTAATAGTTTCTTTTTTACGCATGAATATGAAATGTGAAGCCTTACATTCGTATAAGCCTTCGTCAAACACGTGAGCAAAGTCACGCGTTTTTAACCTTCTAGAGACTTTTAAAACTTTTTTGTTTAGTTTTGTATGAAAAAAACTCTAGAAACAACATGATGATAGTAATAAAAAGTCCTGTTAACTTCTGACTGATATTTCTTCAAATACTATTAGAAAACAGTAAAAAAATGTCTAAACTTACACCTAGAGTAGGTAGGTCAAGATTTTTTATTTTACCAATTTTAGCTCTATAAAAATTATAATTTTAATATAGGTACAGTATACAACTTAACGAATGTTGCCAGTATGCCAGGCACATTTAAAGCTAGGAAGCATTGCTTCTTGTGCGGGAGGTATTCTGAATACCGTATTCATATTGCTGATCCATAGACACTCTTCAAACTCTACTGGATACTAAATTATGAACCTACTTTAAATAACTTATATATATTAGGCTTTTATTGTTTTTCGCGGCGGTATAATATGCTAATATTACTCCCAATAAAAAATAACAACTCTTTCGCACCTGCTTTCAAAAGTTTCTTTGTTCATTTATTCATGTAGTAAGCAGGTGCTACACAGTAATAAATATTGTTAATGAAAATCTTTGGCTATTTTTTTACCTAATATACAATATTTTCATTACCCATTACTACAGTGTAGTTTCATATGCATTAGCAAATTGTTTTAAAATATTGTCAGGCGTTTGTAGTTGTCATTTTTACGAAAAGTAGCATATCTCAAGCAAAACTCTGTTTAGTATGTCATTCTTAATATCTTTATATGTACCTTTTTTTCTTAAGGTATAATATCGTCAATGATAGAACTAAACACATCACTATATACACACCGTTAGATTCAGAGAGAAGAGAGTATCTCAGAATTCCCGTACGTCGAAATCCAATATGTTTACATATTGAAGCATAAAGCTGTACCCTCGGTAATAATTAGGTTTCCAACAAATTCTAAGGTCAGAATGTAGGTTTCACCGGCTTGTTAATCTGTGTCTCATACGTTTATTATGCATTTATTAATTATTACTGTGACTTCGTTGTATGGCTTGATTTAATTTACATCGTTGGGTTAACAGGAAAATAAGGGAAATTTATTAACTGATATTTTAGAGGCCTGATAGTGGAGGGGCTATAGGCGAGTTACGTTTTTGCAATATTATGACAGAAAACACTTAAAATGTGATGTTTCAGAGTCGATGATCGAATATATTGTTTATGACAGACCAAAGAACAAACAGTATTTTCATCCTGTAATTCCGTCGCATATCCTGTAGTCGCTGTGAAGTGTTCAAATCAACTAGCAACGAAATCAGGTCATCGATCTGTCCAACCACCTACCGTTGACTCTAACTCGTATTGAGGTGAAAGTTGAGAAATATAATTTTGCTAACATTTCTTTCTAAGTTCAACGAAATGAATTTTCTGCTGGCTAATGTTTCAGCTGAGTAGATTATTTGTAATTATTATGTTATATTATTTTTATATTATAACTGTCGTTAAACAAATATCGAGAGTTCCTTTCCGAAAGGTATTTCGATTAAAAGCTCTAATCGCAGACATCATACCCAAGATAGGCTCACATATGAAGCATAATTAATTATTTAAAATAATTAATCAAATTACATTTTAAAGGGATAGCGACCTATATATACTTCAACATTTTTTTATTATTAGA